AGGCAGACCGCTCTTGGGCACCTCTTGAGGAAGCCGAGAGATGTTGGATCTGCAACTTAGATAGTTTAATATATGTATACATATATACTTTGATCTAATAAAATATACCGGCGAGGCTGCCGAGAATTTAAAAAAAAAAAAGAAAATTAAAAAGATCAAAGAATAAAAATTAAATGAAAAAATATATAAGATTGATAAATATTGTAATATAATCGAAAGTTTATTAATAATTTTAATTGTATATGATAAAAGTTTTAAATAAAAAAAAATTTAAATAAATCAGTAATGGTTAAACCTTATATATGACCCAAGATATTTTTACTTACATATCTATAATATAGTAGCACTAGATGTTTGCTTCTTTTTTGTAAAATGAACAATCTTGAAAATTTAAATAAGTTCAGATCTAACGAAGATAACCAAATCAAGTTTAGTAAGGAAGACGAAATTGGATCTAACGAAGACAATGAGATTGAATCGATTGATGATAATAAAACTGAGTCCAATAAAGAAAATAAAGAAAAATTTGAAACCAAAAATAAAGAATTGTAAAATATAATAACAGTTTATATTAATTATTTTATTAATGCAACTATCTATTATTGTAGCATGTGAAATGCTTGAACAAATTTATACTATCAAAAAGATATTTTAAATATTATTCAGGAAATAGCTTAGCATTCTGGGTTTGCTGTAACTATCAAGAGTAGCAGCCATCATCACTTTCATCTCCAATGCAAATATAGTGATTAAACCCAGAATATCTCTAATCTAACAGAAAATACATGTTAAAAAAAATAGATAAGCAAGCATTGTGTGTACCTATATTTATTGAAGGCTGTTTCACGAGACTCTAAATAAAAAATTATAAAAGTAATAAATAAGCATAATCATCTTGAGGCTAAAGATGCAAGAGTATTTTATGACATCATCAGTTAATACAAGAAGCCAAATATATAGCTATGCAAATGTTAAATGCAGAAGCAAAGCCTAGTACAATTTATGAAGCTATCAGAGATGAAAATAGAAAACCAACTGCAACTAGACGAGATATATTAAATTTGGGTTCATGAATTCATATTTCAGAGAAAAATGCCTTAATGGAGATGCTAATAGTAAGTATAGAAAAAAGAGGATATAGTGTTCTTCATGAAAATCAAAAGAGTAAATTTTTTTTTTTTTGAATTCATTTCAGAATTCTTATATAATATTGAATTAATTCAAATAGGCATATCAAACATCTTTTTTTCTGTCATGAAATTCAGTTAAAATAGCTAAGCATTTTTTAGAAGGTGTTCTAGCCAATATAATCTATAAAATGAATATTTATAAACTGCTATTTGTAAATTTCATTAGCATTAATAATCTTGGAGTTAAACGGTTGCAAATATTTGAAATTGCAGGTGCTTGGATCTCAGATAAAACTGAGAAGTCATATATTTGGGTAGTTGAAAAGCTTGCATCATTAATTTTTTTGATACTTCTCTGTTTGTGTTTGTTATAGACAATGATATAGCACTTATTGGTGCCATTAAAAAAGTTTTTCCTTAATCTAAAAATCTCTTGTGTACTTGGCACATTTTGAACAATTTTAAGAAAAATTTAAAGAAATATTTTGATGATGACTCTTATGATAAAATTATAAAAATCATAGATCATATCATCTATTCAAGATATTACGATGCATTAAATTTGACAATTGCTTTATATAAAGCACTAGCTAAATCAAGCTTCAATGCAAATAAGGCAATTAAATATTTTAACAGAGAAATGTATATGTATTTTATATCGATATAGTATATAAGTAACAAAAGAGAAAACCTATAAATCATTTCACTCATTGAGTAAAATGATTTATGGGGTTTCTCTTTTCATCACTCATATATTAAATTAATTTTTAAATTAAGTATAAGATTTACATACATTATTAATTTAATATATACAGAATGATTAAAGTTAAAAAAAAGTGAGTTGGAGTTTATACAAGCAAAATAATGCATCTTGGTGCTACAATAATACATGTTAAAGGTGCATATTCAGCTATAAATCATGCTATCAAAACTTCAAGAAGTTTAATAAAGTTTTTTAATTCATTAGATAGATGAATATATTTGCATTATAAGGAACTTTTATTACAATATAAGAATAAAAGTGTAAATGTCAACCCATTATTAACATGAGATAATAAGAATTAATTAAAGCCACTTTTAGAAAAGATCGCACAAATTGCTTTGAATAAGATCAAGAATGAGCTTTTTAATATAACTACTTATAAGGCTTGTTTGTGCGAATTGCATATAAATTATAATATATCTTGTTGATATATTTTTCCACTAAGTAGCCTCGTGATTATTTTCAAAAGATAGCTACTATTTCCTGATCAAGATTAAGTTGCTTCTAATTATCTAATAAAAGACTTATCCTCAATTAGTTTTAATAATTTTTTACTAAAATCTTGGTTATACAAAATTGAAATGCGATATATAAACTTCTCTGATAAATAACAAAAATCTAATCTTCTGAAAAAACTTGATAATATTTTAGTAGTATCTGAAGTTGAACTTTCTGAAATAAAGATTCCAGAACAAATTAGAAAAAAAGTTGCTCTTCAGGCACTAAACGATTACCAATTGTATTAGAAAATATAAAAGCTAAGAGAAAGAAAAATAAAGTTGATAATGTAAAAAAAAACTAATTGAAAGTGTTAATTCTTTTAATTTTTCATTAAATGGTTCAACACTTAATATTGAAGGTAATATATATTTTAAATAATATAAAATAACATGCTAATATACAAATTATTAACTTATTACAAGCTATATATTAACTTATTACATATTACTTATAGATAAAAGGCCAAAAATTTCCTAAATTTTCGAATTCATGTTGATAATATAGATCAAATATGTAATCCAAAAAGTGATAGTAACTGCGGATTTTGGGTACTTGCTATTAATATTCGGGAAAATGAAGAAAACTAGAATTTTGTTAAATTGGTCATAAATAGTTAATTGAATAAGCATATAGAAATTTATAAAAACTGGCTAGATTATAATATTACATGTAATATAAGAAAATTTAAATAAAAGCATAAAGTTTTTTGATTATAACTAATTTATTTACTAAGTAAACCTTGTATAAACTTATAATAAAAGTTGTAGAGAAGCTTTCTATGATTCTAATAGTAATAATAATATTAAAATTGCTCTAATAGATCATGAGATATTAATTAAAAAGTTTTGTAATTCTTTAAATTTCTTAGAAATTTTCTAAAAAATTTTAAAGAATTATAAAACTTCTTTGATTGATATTTCATGATCTGCTAAAGAAATTTTAATATTCTTACTACTTTTAGAATTGTACAATACTTCTCTACAATTTTTATTATAAATATATACAAGATTTACTTAGTAAATAAATAAGTTATAATCAAAAACTTAGTGTTTTTATTTAAATTTTCTTAGAAATTTAATTATAATATTTTACTATTAACTATTACAGTATATAAATTTTTAATTTTATTAAATATAATAATTTTAGCTATTAATTATAATATTTTAACTATTAATTTATAATAATTTTATCAATTAATTATAATATAGTATTTTAATTATTTTTAATTATAATATTTTAATTATTAATTATAATTTTTAACTATTAACTATAGAGAATTGCTATTTGCACCATGATTTTTGCTATTTGTACCATTAATTTGACTAAAATTATACTTTAACTCTAACTAATTCTGGTCAAACTAATAGTGCAAATAGCAAAAATCGTGTGTAAATAGCAGTACCCTAACTATAATATTAATTATAATATTATTTGAATATAATATTTTTAAAAATTAAAATTAATTTTTTTCACTGGTTTTTGAGCTTTCATATACTATATAGATAAATTTGGAGTAGAGACTATTTTATTTAGTAGTATGTAATTTTTATAAGCCTTTCATAGACTCATAATAGTGATCATTATAATAGGCAAATTTCTTTTTTCTTTTTTCGACATCCCCTTACTTTTTTTTCTTTCTTGTTTATATTTTTTATCGTATTTTCCTTTTACCTCTGTTTTGTTTTTTCTTTTGTATTTGTGCTTTTGTTAATTTGGCTCTTTTAATGAAGCATATAGCTGTTAAGACTAAGGATCGAAGGGTTTATATTCTCAGTAAGTGAGGATCTAATGTGAAGCTAATTGCTGCTAGGTGGATTATTCTTTAAGTTTAACTTGAGTTGATCTTTACTCACATAGAATATAGTATAAAAAATTGTATCTTCCTGTTAATATAAGTTCTGGTACTTCTCAATAAAGAGTAATGGGCAGGACCACTAAATTAAAAAAAAAAAAAAAAAAAAAAAAAAATTAATTTTTTTTGTATTGCTAAAAAAATATTAAAATAAATTTAATATATTTTATTTTTAATATAAAATTTTAGATTTAATTTTAAATTAAATTAGTTTAAATTTAGATTAATTATATTGTTATACAAACTTATAAGCTACAGCAAGCCTGGGGATGTGACAAATAAACTGCATAAGCTGGCTCATTTAAAAATACTAAAAATAAGTAGATTCAGAATGATCCTAATGTGATAAATAATACAAAACAGTTCTGCCTTCACATAATTTTAATTTTTTTGAAACTTACAGTACTTCAAGAATAGCAAGATAAAGTCTAAAATTAAAATTTAATTATTATTATATACAGTATTATAAAACTTTTAAATTTTTAATACTTACTCAAAGGTATTGTTATAAATATTATTAGATAAAAAATTTCTTGAGTTATTTGCATCATAAGATTTGAATTAATATCGATGCATTGATGTGTTTGATTATATAATTCTTGTGTGGTGAATTTACAAAGTTTTGATCCTTGGCAGGTTCGCATTTAATATTTTACTTCAACACCAAGATAAGAGCACATAACTTTATATTTACCACTAGGTTTGCCAATTGAGTATTGAATCTAAAATAAAAATTTTATATAGTATATTAAGTAATTATAATAAACAAACAATTAAATGAAATTATGTATAAAATATACAATTATTTACTAACATCTTTGAACACATCCAATGGTTCTTTTCAACCTTCAACATTATATATATAAGCAGTACCTTCAAGACTTGTTTCAGAATATTTTATAGGTGTTAAAGTATAATAAATAACTTTTATAGCCAATTCTTTAGTAAAATAAGTTATTGTATCTTCATTTAAATTGCTTATAATAGTATTATCAATCTCTTAAAATTTATCATTAGAAGAAATTAATAAACTTTTATTTTTAAAGAATTCTAAATCTTCTTTGTAAATAGTTTTAATCCTATCAATAATATAAAAGTCAGATTTATCGTTAATATTGAGATCACTAATATGAAGGTTAGGATCATTAAAGTAAAAATTGTCTATTTTAAAAAAGTAAACATAAACAAAATATACAGTTTATATTGGTAGCTTTTAGTTATTTAAAAAAAAAAAAGTTATATACAATATATATATTATTATATGATTATTCAAAATATAATTCAGAATATATCAGCATTATTAAATTGCAGAAATATTGCATATTAAGTTTTATGCCAAAATGCTTATACTTTATTTATAATATTGTAGGGTTAAACACTAATGGGTTCTTTATTGTAAATCTAATTCAAGAGAACCTTTGTTTGAAATATTGTTACTTTTAATAAATGTCATGGCTGATGCTGAATTTGGCTGATATTTAATATCATATGAAAATTCAGACCAGAAATTGCAAATCACATGTTGATTAAGTTCATTTGTATTAAGGTTATTGTCTATATTAATATTAGAGTTTAGAAGGTTATATAGTAAAATTACTCAAGGAAAACCTTTTGTTAGTATACAAAGTATTGTTTTTGTATGAAAGTTTTTGAGAAATCAGTGATTTTTTACAAAGAGACATTTGTTTTAAATTTTCATAATCGATATGTGATCTGCAATTTCTGGCCCAAATTTTTACATAATAATAAATATATAACTCTTAAAATTATATATGCATCATATCAAAAAACTTTTTTTTTACTTTATATTATATACTAATTACATTATTTATGTCATTCTCTATATTATTTTTTATGTTTCACTTTGCCACCTTATACTTTTTTATTTTAATTACTGATTTATCACCCATCATGCTATATTATGCATCTGATCTTAGTTCTGATCATCTACATTTCTCTACGATTATCCTAAGCCTAGTACTTATATCACGTGAAATGTTCATCATACAGGTAAACTTACAAGTATAACTGTTTTCATACTTATTATACTTATAAGTATGGTTATCTTTTCTACTTATAAGTTTGATAGATATGATTTTTAAATATACATATAAATATAAGAACTTGAAGTTGTTCTACACTACACTTTTTATATTTCATACTATACTACTTTATATATTACTTGAATTTATATATCTATATAAATATATAGTATACAAACTAGTATAACTGACTCAATTTTTTTTTATATATATATGTATGCTATACACTTTTTTTAAAACAAATTTTTATACATATATGTATACTATATGCTTTCTCCCTTTTTTTTAACTTACACTACATTTTTCATTGTATTAACCTTATGCTTTTATGCAATACCAGTAATAAATTTAATATTTTTAATTAATATATATTATACGTCTAATTGTTTTTTTTTTTTTTAATATTAAAGTGATCTTATAATCGGTTGCCTTTATTAGTTTAAGTGCTAAGCTGATCGAAGTTAACTGCTACTCATTTGGTACATGGTTTTAGAGAGTACAACTAGCCACATGTACAATTTTTGATTGTTTATTTAAGTAGTCTGCCCAAAGGTTCTATACTAGATACCATATCTATAATCCAACTAGGGGATTACCTATTTAAACCCTCTGCACTGCCATACCTTATAAGTAACCAATACCTGCCATAGAAAGCACCTGGCCTAGGGCTAATTTACCCTCGAGGTAAACTTGCTAGAGCTTTCTATACCCACAATCCAGCTAATCTAGACTTTGGTAACTTACACCAAATCCAAAGACAGCAACTTGCAAACTGAGACTGGTCACTACCATTATCTACTTCTGTCCTTGTAAAGTTCACCCAGACCCCAATACATACTTTACAGACTACTACTAGTTTTAATTCCGACAATCCCAAACTACCAATCCAGATGGCCCAGAAGGGCTGTGACCTGCTCCTGGTCCCCACGGTTGGGTCTTTTTTCTCTAGTTACTTTTCTGGCAGCCTGGTTGGTAGAGTGCCTTGCCAAACACTTCGGTCCCATTCAGTTTTGCCAGTTCTCCCAATGACGATCTTTCAGTAGTACTGTCAAAGATCTGTGCTACTTCTCTACTCAGGTCTTGCCAAGTGAAAGTCTACCATCCTTCCCGGTTCCCTGGGTTTACTATGATCCGAAAGCTTATTTGTGTAACTCGAACATTGCACAAATGCCCCATGATCTCCCAATCTTTTGTTGGCACCACCAAGGTTACAGAGATATTCTAACCAATCAACAGAACACGTCTAATTGTTAGTAAACATAAAAAATAAGTATTATTATACTTTACTATAAAAAATAATTCTAAATCAATAACCTAACAGAATAATTAAAACATAGACCAAAAATTTGTTTAAAATTTTAATTTATTATTTGAATAAAAGGAAATTTTACATATTTTTAAATATTAACAAGATAAATTGTCGGGGATGATGCTGAAATCGGATGATGCTGAAATTTGGGGGTCTTAATTTGAAAATATAAACCCTACTAAAATCCACCTATACTCTTTTATTATAAACACTAACCCTAACTTCTAATCGAACTATGAAGAAAAAGCTGAACAAACACCCCAAAAAATTTTTAATTTTTCATGATAAAATAAGTTAAAATTTCAGCATCATCCGATTTCAGCATCATCCCCGACATAAATTAATTAGAATATCATCAATATCTTCAACCATTTTACTTTATTGTTTTATAATCTGATTCTTTTTTATGCCAATGCTTCGATTTCTGTGCTTTGTTGCTTACCATTTTCTATAATCTCTTTTTTACCCTATTTAGCAATCTATTTCTCATCCTTTTTAGCAATCTCTTTCTCATCCTTTCCAGCATCTTTTTTCTTATCACTTTCTTCATTTTTTTCAATTTGCTGTTTTCTATTGTAAAGCAGTTTGAGTGCACTTTGAATAGCACTAAGAAGAATCTTAAATATAGTTGTAAACAGTACAAGAAATAGAACAATGCTGTAGGTTACGATAGATCAAAAATAATTAAAAATTTTATTACTGTATCATTATTTTAATAATAAATCATTATTATTTAATACCTCGTTTTTCAAAGGCCCAGGAAGGAGTAATAATTGTCAATTGAACAATTAACATCAAAATTGCAAAGACTTTCGCAGGTTGCAATTTTTTTATTTTTTAATAAAAAAAAAGTCTGTTTTTTAATAGTATACTGTTTTTAAAAACGACGATTCCCAGAGAAACATCGGGGCTATTTATACATTTATTAAGTAGCAAGTAAAAAGCATACTTTTATATAAATACTTCACTCTCAAAGCCATTATCAACTCTTCTTCACTCAGACACAAACAGTAAGTTTATTTTTTGAAACCATTACCCAGCATAATCAGTAAACTTTCAAAGCCTTTGCTTAGCATAAACAACAATAATAATCCGTATATGGAAAAAATATATATATAACTTTCAATTCAAAAAGAAAATTTCAACTCAAAAAGAAGATTTTTGAGCATGTAAAATTCATCAACTGAAATATCAATATCACATGGATATACAATTGTTTATAAGTGGCTTTTCTAATATCAGAAACAGAGTTTCACAGAAGGAAACGAAGGTGTAGTTTACAACCATCTTCGATTAGGATGCTCAATATTGGTCCAATTTATAGTTGTTAGGCGAAACCACTTTTGCGTGATGATGAAAGACGAAACCTAAACACGGCAGAAGAAGAAAGACAAAACTTTAGTATAATGACGAAGCCCCATACGAAAGGTGAAACTTCAAAACAATAATGTAAAAGCAACTCAAACTATCAAAGTCAATTTATTAACCAAATTAAGGATTATAAATGATAAAACAAAGTGAGTGTTTGAATATTGCATGTATGTCTTGTATGTTAAATGCTATTAGATAATGACCATTAAATACAGCTTATATATGAGTCTAGCTAAATGAAAATTCAGATGGTGAACTTTCAAGTTTATTATTTACCGGACTTTATCTTCGGAAAATCTAATAAGCTTTGTAAACAAAGCGGTTTCCTGGTGAGGTGCCACTAACGTTAAATTTATAAAACTAGCACATGATTATGTGGCGGCTTCGCTGCCGCATGTAATTTTGTAGAGATTCAATAACTGTAGCTGTTATATTGATTAAGAGAGGAGGTTCGGGTAAGTCATTTTGATCGATGGCTAGGGAACAATATTGTGTAAGTTCTAAAAAAAAACTGAATTGAAAAAAAAGCAATTGTAAAAATGAAATAGCGGTCCGTAATTGAAGACGAACATACTCTATTATCATCAACATCTTTGACGAACTGAATTTTCCTGTTACCAAAAAGCACATCTTCGATGGCAGGGTTGGGTTTTGATTATCATTGAGAATAAAATCTGATCAAAAAAAAGATTTAAGTGAGAAGAAATGTACCATTTATATGATAGCCCAATTTTTGCGATAGTACATACAGTACATATAGTACGTATAGTACGTATAGTATTTTATATAATATAATAGGGTAGAAGATGCGGCCTCAGGCACATTACCAAGGGGCGTGTCAAGAGATCTGGGACTAAGGATGGTTCGGTCGGCTATGCCAGTTATCGGTTATAATCAATTTACTAAATTTTATAATAATTTTTTCTTTTTGAGTTATTAATTAAAGCTGTTTAGAATTAAATTCTATTCGTACTATTCTATAAACAAAAAACAAAATATCTTTTTAATAATTTAGGAATTTAAAATTTGTTATCGATTTCGAACGGTTACTATTATTCATAGCCAATTTGCCAAATACTGAGATGATTTTTTATTTTGAGCTATTAATTAAAGTTGTTTAGAATTAAATTCTGTTCATCCTATCTTATGAGTAGAATGAACGATACCTTCTCTGGGACTCGGAATTTTAAAATTTGTTAACCCCATAACCGGTTATTAACCGCCGGTTATGACGACAACAAATTTTGAAATTCAAAGTCCCAGAGAAGGTATCATTCATTCTACTCATAATATAGGATGAACAGAGTTTAATTCTGAACAACTTTAATTAATAGCTCAAAAATAAAAAATCATTTCAGTATTTAGCAAATTGGTTATGAATAATTGTAACCGTTCGTAACCGAACCCATCCCTAATTTTCGCTGCAACCAACTGGTAATTGATGATTAATTTTGAAAATTTTGGGCTTCAGTAAAGGTATCTTGCTTTTTTTTTTTTTTATCAGATAGTATGAGCAAAAGTTAATACAGTAGTTCATAAAGAAAAAATCATAGAAAATTGATTACAATTGATCGTAACCGAATCCAATCCTATCTGAGAGCTTTAAATACGTAATGATCGACATGTAAAGATAGCGTTTAGTAAGTGCTGTTTCAGGTTTGGCTTGAGGTGAAGCTTCCATGAATAATAATACTATGACTCCTCTGGTTGTTAAACAGTATAAGCAAAGTTATAGTCACGTAATGAATATCGCTAGCCATAGATTCCCACTCCTCTCCGATACCTTGCTTAGTCATATTACCCAATTAGATGCTAAGTGTAATAGCAAAGCCCTCCATTTATTCATTATGTATAAAACGCTTAGCTTTTCTGTCATTAGTGAAGGTGAATAAACCATATTGTTAATAAAAACCAGCTTAGCCCTATCCGAGGATCCTAGTGGCAGCAGAATCTCTGGTTCTTGACCAAATTTTACACACCATCTTTCGAGGATTCTCTTCTGTGTACGATGTTTTTATTGAGTATTTGTTTTTAGAGTAGTAACCCGAGTCCATCCTTCGCAATAGATATTGGAAAGAAAAAAATTTAAATCTGTTTTTATTATTTGAAAGTTTAAATGCGTACGTATTGGCGTATTTAGTGCATTCTATTCTCTTACCGTTTTCAGGTTTTAGTAAAGAATGGTTTTATCGTTATCGATGTTATCAGATATACGAATTAACGTTAAGGTTATTATTTCAAAATTACAAGTTTTTACAAGTTTTTTTTTTTGACCTTAAAAGAAAAACTGGTTTATACAGGATGACGATCAAGTAACGGTGAACGAACGGGGTTTCTTTCTATTTCTTTGAAGATCATTGATTATCGACGAGGTTTTTATTTAGGCAATAATAGGATTTAACTGAATATAAAAAGTAGTACAATAAGATTATTTTATTGTTCACAGTATAATATAATAGGCTTGTGTGAAGTGAATAATAACAAGCTTGTACAGGGTAAACAATGTACGGTAAGCTTATACGAGACTAAAAATCAGATGGCATTACAGTATCGTTATTTTTAAATTGGAAAAAGGGATGATGAATCTTGCTGTATTAGTCATTTGAAAGTAGTGGATGCAGGAGTATAATTCTCGGGAGGAAATAATGAAAATATAAAATTTAAATTAGTTTAAATTTGTACTGTAGTACGGTATGTTTAGCTTTTTTATGAATTACTTTTTCTGAATCGTAGGAATGCATGATACAGTACAGTATAATCAAAAATTGCATGTACAATTCTTGTTACGTATGTGCAAAAGACACATATCATGTGTTTTTCATGAATCACTTTTTTCGAAAATTAGAATCGTTTTCATGAATTACTTTTTTCGAAAATTAGAATCGTAGGAATGCATGATATAATCAAAAATTGTACGTATGTACAATTCTTGTTATCATGTGTGTATGTGCAAAAGACACATATCATGTGTTTTTCATGAATTACTTTTTCGAAAATTAGAATCATAATAAAGCATGACATA